GCTGCTCAGCAAGTGAGTGAAGGCAATGATCTCAAACTCTTAGACAACAGGCTGAATGGAAATGCCGATTTAGAAGAGCTGTGTAGAACTTGTAAATTAGCTTGTTGGTGTATCCAAGATCATGAAATCCAAAGACCATCGATGTGTCAGGTAGTTCAGATTCTAGAAGGAATTTTGGATGTAAACCTGCCTCCAATTCCTCGATTTCTACAAGATATCAGTAATGAACAAGAGAGGATCACATATTTATCTTCACCGACGCAACCATAAGCGTCAGTTGAGAGGCGCATGCCATGCTTTAGCTTTTGCTGCTCCAAGTAGCAGCTTTTCATCTTTGAATGAGTCATTAGGCCTGGAAAAAATATACTGAAAGCGCATTCGACACGTAAAATTAGCAATAAATGTATAGCTTATGCCTTTGTTTTAGCTTATGTTGTTCACCTTTGATGCCCAAACTATTCTTACAAGTTTCAGTTTTTTGATGGTAAGACTCATAGGTAGCAGAAATGTGAATTCGCTGGTTGTTTCCTTCCTGTTGACATGTCTCTGTTTTCTTTATTTTTTCATGATTTGAATTTTTTTAATTCCTTCTCATGACTGACACTGATGCTTCCCGAGTCTACAGAGTCTAAATTCAATTTATTAAAGACCGACTTTCCGAGAGAGAATATAGTTTGACATGACTTCCTAGTAAGATGAGACAAAACATACGTAAATTATACACTAAAATTATTCTGAATTAAAATTTATTTTATTTAAGCTAATATCAATTTCTTTTAAAATAAAATAAATGTATTATATCTAAATATCAACAACAATAAACTGTTACGAAGGACTAGAACATCTCACAGAAAATGATATCAACTAAATATACCTCAATTTATACAAAATATCTCACCAATAAAACTACTAAAAACCCTCTTATTTTTTTTTTCAAATGCAGTAAATACAAGCATTTCAAGCATTGCCAGAATTAGAATTATTATTTTTTATTACGGATTAATAATTCTCAATAATCTTGGAGTAGTATTTTGCAACTTGCGAGACGGGAGGAATACGCGGTCCAATCACGTTCAAGGTTGACCTTTTAAGAAAAGACCAATATTCTTTTTGACATTTCTCCTATTTTATTTATTATCATTGGAGGATGACGAATGATATCTGTGCGAGAAAAGGATTTTCCAGGTTACTAAAATGCCCATGTCCCATGTTCAGCAAGGATGAAAAACAAAGGCCATAGTTGTCTTCTTTGACAATAAAACTACCCCAGTTTAGCCGTCACTTCCACAGACATGTTTCGCTTTAATGATCCTTGACCTGTTCTTTAATGTGTTATATCCTATTGGAATAACTAATCAATTAAGGTTAGTTAAGGGAGTTAGAACTGTTAGCAGTTAGTTGTGGTTGTTGTAAAGCATCTAGACTTGCTGTTAAGCTTCTACTAGAAGCTATAAAGCAATGTAACTGGTGTACTGAAGATAATAAGAAAAGGGTCGATGTTTGTTTAGTATTGAAGCTTAACCTAGCTTCCTAACATATTCTAACCAGATTATTAATCGTCCTTTAAAACATCTGTGTTGTTTCCCTTGCCAGTAATCCACTTCCAGCCATGGACAACATGAAGAATCCATGGCGGAAACTTTCTATACTTCTCTTCATGTGGCTTTCTCTCTGCAAACTCTCCTTTGGAGCAGACACCATCACAGCAAATCAATCTCTCTCCGGTAATCAAACCATTGTTTCATCGGGTGGAAACTTCGTGTTGGGATTCTTCGCACCAGGTAGCTCTTCTAACTACTACATAGGCATCTGGTACGGAAAGATCTCTGAGCAGACACCGGTTTGGGTAGCCAACAGAGATACACCAGTGCGTGATATTCACTCTTCAGAACTGAAAATATCTGATGGTAACTTGGTTTTGACCAACGGATCCCAAGTGGAAATTTGGTCCACAAATATTAGCTCAAGCAACTCAAGTTCTGTAGTTGCAGTCCTTGAAGATGGTGGGAATCTTGTTTTGCGAGATGGTCCAAATTCATCGGCACCTTTGTGGCAAAGTTTAGATCATCCCGCGCACACATGGCTTCCTGGTTGCAAGCTTAGCTTAAATAAACGAACCAATCGAAGCCAGCTTCTTACATCATGGAAAAATTCAGAAGATCCTGCTCCGGGTCTCTTCTCTCTCGAGCTAGACCCTGCTGGAGCTAATTCGTATATTATTCGGTGGAACGGTACCAGACAGTACTGGTCGAGTGGACCTTGGGATGAACAGTCGAGGATTTTCAGAGACGTTCCGGAAATGAGATTGAATTATCTATCCAATATCAACTTTCTCTACAATTTCAGCTTTCATTCGGACGAAAACGAGAGTTATTTTACTTATTCGCTTGATACTAACCAGATCACAACACGACTCATTATGCATTACTCGGGGCAGATTCAGCAACAGTCATGGTTGGAAAGTAACCGGCAGTGGAATCTGTTTTGGTCGATGCCGAGTCAACAATGCCAGGTTTATGCTTTTTGTGGGGCTTTTGGCAGCTGCAATGAGATAAGTCTACCTTTTTGTAGTTGTTTGAGAGGTTTCCATCCCAAATCGGAAACCAATTGGAATCTGAGCGATTTTTCCGATGGGTGTGAGAGGACAACCAGGCTGCAATGCGAGGAGGATCCGAACCTTGTTACCGGAAAGACCGATAAATTCCTGGAAAGTCCCAATGTAAAATTGCCTGAACGTGCTAAGGCAATGAGCGTTGGGAGCATGTTGGAATGTGAATCCGCTTGCCTTGAGTATTGCAATTGCACTGCTTATGCTTATGATAGCGATGGCTGTCAAATTTGGATGACAGAACTCTTGGATCTGCAACAATATTCGGGAGATACTAGCGATGGCAGAACAATATATATCCGACTAGCGGCATCTGAGTTTCGGAGTTCGAGCAACAATAATGGGATCATTATTGGAGCAGTTGCAGGGGGGATTGGTTTAGTCCTATGCCTTGTGATATTTGCAATCTTGAGATGGAGGAGGCGGAGAATGATAAATCCGAAAGTTGAAGGTTCGCTTCTAGCTTTTGGATATCGGGATACAGAGTGCAACGAAGAATTTTTCTGAAAAACTTGGGGGAGGAGGTTTCGGTTCTGTTTTCAAAGGACGTTGCCGGACTCGAGTATCATAGCTGTGAAGCAGCTTGAGAGCATCAGTCAGGGAGAGAAGCAGTTTCGGTCAGAGGTGAGCACGATCGGGACGGTTCAACATGTTAATCTAGTCCGGCTTCATGGATTCTGCTCCGAAGGTATGAGGAAGTTGTTGGTCTACGATTACATGCCGAATGGTTCTTTGGATGCCCATTTGTTCCTTGAAGATAATTCTAAACCCCTAGCTTGGAAAACAAGGTACCAGATTGCACTCGGCACGGCTAGAGGCTTAACTTATCTTCACGAGAAATGCAGAGATTGTATTATTCATTGCGACATCAAGCCGGAGAACATTCTTTTGGACGCCGAACTCTGTCCCAAAGTCGCAGATTTCAGCCTGGCAAAGCTCATCGGTCGGGAGTTCAGCAGGGTCCTGACAACTATGAGAGGCACAAGAGGCTATCTTGCACCAGAGTGGATTTCGGGAGTCGCCATTACAGCTAAAGCCGATGTCTACAGCTACGGGATGATGCTGTTTGAGATTGTATCGGGTAGGAGAAACTCTGAACAGAATGAAGAAGGAAAGGTTGGATTCTTTCCAACTTCAGTCGCTCGCGCAATAACCCAAGATGATGATGTCCTTAGCCTATTAGACCCCCGATTGAACGAAGATGCTCCCGTCGACGAGATATCGAGAATATGTAAAGTGGCTTGTTGGTGTGTCCAAGATGATGAAACTCACAGGCCTTCAATAGGTCAGGTGGTTCAGATCCTAGAGGGTGTTTTGGACGTGAACGTGCCTCCGGTTCCAAGGTCCCTACAAGTGCTCGCAAACAACACGGAGCATATAATCTTCTTCACAGAGTCATCTTCAAGCCCGAGTTCACAAGCACCGAGCAACTCTTCAAATGCGTCTTCTTAAGCTTAGAGCAACACATCATCGATGAGTTCATGAATCTCGAACAACTTTGTCTTTGAAATAAGTTAAGGTAGTTAGGTTTGTTCACGTTAATATATACAAATCCAGTGTTATTTTTCCATTAGTTTCCTGATACGCAAGCCACTGTCATTAATAATTATACCACAAGCTATCAAAACTATATTAATTAAAATGTAGAAAATTATTCCATTATTGGAGTTCGGTGCATCACTGGCCTTATCATCGTTTAAGTTCAGATGAGCTATTATGATCACATGGCTAAATTAATAAATTAAATGTGCTTAAATATTAGTAATACTTCTATTGATTTAGAAAGAAAGAGGGCTGAACCTCCGACATTGTGGTTAACAGCCACACGCTCTAACCAACTGAGCTATCCAGCCGTTGATGCTGATTTCATTTTAATAATAAATAATCAATTTTATTCAAATGAGCTATTCCACAATAAATAACTGCAGATTAAAGTCGTTATTTTATGTGGTATTTTAATTATTTTTTCAGATTGTATTTATAGGGAGTCTAAGCTTATTTTATAATTTCTATAATTTATACTGGTGAATTAATTTAAATAAGAATTTGATTATTGTTCCAATCATACGTTAATATAATTGATGCTACATTAATATAATTAATATAAACGTGGTCATCAAAATTTTATTTTAATTTCTTGAGTAAGAGTCTATGAGACATATTATACTGTTTTTAATAGTAATACGAAATATTTTTATCCTAAAGAAAAGATCAAATAATCTAAACCATTGGACAAGCTTTCAATTCACCTTCCCGTAATGAGACCGCCACTGGAGCTTACTTGCAGGTTGCTGATCTTATCTTGACCTGCAATATTTTTTTCTTCATTTAAGATTGCTGTTATCATAACTACCGAGAAACACAACGCTTAACCGCTGTGAAGTATCTTGCAGTTGTAGCCATGAAGATCGGGAACATCAATCCCAGGTGGTTCATGTTTTCAGTGTTGTTCTTGTTCATGTGTTTGTCTCATGAATCCCATGTCTGTTTTGCAGTTGATACCATCTCCACTAACCAATCTCTTTCTGGCAACCAAACCATTGTCTCAGCTGGCGGAGTCTTCGAGCTTGGTTTCTTCAGACCGGGAAATTCCTCCAACTATTATATAGGGACGTGGTACAAGAAGGTCTCCCGGTTCACTCCAGTTTGGGTTGCAAACAGAGAAAAACCAGTCCATGATATATATTCTTCGGTTTTGAAAATCTATGATGGTAACTTGGTTCTGTTCAACGAGTCTCGAGTGCCAATTTGGTCTACAAATGTAAGCTCCGGCCCAGCCATCTCGAGTTCAGTAGTAGCAGTGCTTTTAGACGATGGGAATCTTGTTTTGCGAGACGGATTGAATTCGATTTCGTCGACGATACTGTGGCAAAGTTTTGATCATCCAACAGACACCTGGCTGCCGGGAAGTAAGCTTAGATTCAATAAACGAACCAATCAAAGCCAACGTATTATTTCATGGAGAAGTCATGATGATCCAGCACCAGGTCTGTTCTCTTTTGAAATAGATCCTGCAGAGACTAATCAAGTCTCTTTAGTATGGAACAGGTCCCAATTTTACTGGTTCAGTGGAGCTTGGGATCCACAGACAATGAGCTTCAGCTTAGTTCCAGAAATGAGAATGGCATCGCTGTCGAATTCGACCTACAACTTCAGCTATTTTTCAGAAGAGAATGAAAGCTATTTCCTTTATTATTTTTATAATTCTTCTACTACAGCTAAACTTTTCATGGATGTGTCGGGACAGCTTCAGCAGATGTCATGGTTGGAAGATATGGAGCAGTGGATGGTGCAATTTTCACAACCAAGACAGCAATGTGGGGTATATGCTTTGTGTGGGGCTTTTGGCAGCTGCAATGAGATATCTCTGTCGTTTTGTAATTGTTTGACTGGCTTTCAGCCGGCTTCTCAACAGAATTGGAACCAACAGGTTTATTCTGATGGTTGTGTAAGGAAAACGAAACTGCGATGCAGCGATGCTGGTGTCGATGTCGGAACCGGGGACCGATTTTTAGAGAGCCGCAACACAATTTTCCCTACACATCCACAGAATATGATGGCTGTTAGCAGCTTGGAATGCAAGTCAACCTGTCTAAAAAATTGCTCTTGCACTGCCTATGCTTTTGAGAACAACCAGTGCTCAATCTGGATAGGAGATCTCTTGAATCTGCAACAACTTGGACAAGATGATACTATAGGGAAAGTTCTGTATATCAAGTTAACCGCTGATAGTGAATCTAGTTCCAAAAATAAGAAGAAGGTGATTGTAATTGCGATTGCGGTTTCAACTGGACTACTCCTTTTAGGCCTTATGATGTTCATAATCATGAAACTGAGGAGGAGAACGATCATCGGTCCAGAACTCGGAAAAGGTTCACTTGTGGCTTTTGGATATAAAGATTTACAGAAGACAACCAAGAATTTCTCTGAAAAGATAGGAAAAGGAGGCTTTGGTTCTGTTTTCAAAGGGACATTGCCAGATAGAAGTGTTGTAGCAGTTAAGAAGCTTGAGGGCATCAACCAGGGAGAGAAACAATTCCGTACCGAGGTCCGTACAATCGGAAAGATCAATCATGTTAATCTAGTTCGTCTTCGTGGATTCTGCTACGAAGGTTCAAGGAAGTTGTTGGTTTATGATTTCATGCCAAAAGGATCATTGGACAGACATCTTTTCCGTGCCAAAGATTCAGAACCTCTAGACTGGAAAACAAGATACCAAATTGCTCTTGGTGCAGCTAGAGGCTTGGCTTATCTCCATGACAATTGTGTAGACAGTATCATTCACTGTGACATCAAGCCAGAAAACATTCTTTTAGATGTCGACAATTGTCCGAAATTGTCGGATTTCGGCCTAGCAAAGCTTCTAGGACGAGAGTTTAGTCGAGTCCTGACGACCATGAGAGGAACAGTGGGTTATCTTGCACCAGAATGGATTTCAGGAGTTGCTATAACACCCAAAGCTGATGTCTACAGCTTCGGGATGATGCTTTTGGAACTCGTATCGGGAAAGAGAAACTTCGAACCAACAAACGATAAAGAAGGTGGTACGTTCTTCCCAGTTTGGGCTGCTAGACAAGTCACCGAAGGCGTGTGTGTCCTCAAACTCCTAGACAGCAGACTGAATGGAAATGCTGATTTAGAAGAGGTGTCCAGGATTTGTAAAGTAGCTTGTTGGTGTATCCAGGATAATGAAATCCATAGGCCATCAATGAGTCAGGTAGTACAGATCTTGGAAGGATTTTTCGATGTAAGCCTGCCCCCGATGCCGCGATTTCTTGGAGAAATTATCAATGACCGGAGCACAGATTTTTCTTCACCGATTTAACCATAAGCGTCAGCTCAATGGCACAGGCCATCAACCGGTGCATGTGCAAATGCAATCCCCAGCGCATGCAGTCATCAACCAACGCAATCCTTGTTTCCTTTTTGTGTGTGTTTTACAGCTTGCTTTAAATCTTTTACTTGATTGTCCCTATGTTGTAAGATTGGCTTGAAAAATGTCATGGGATCTGTGCATCGATTTCCTACTTGTAATGGACTGGAAAAGGTTGGTCCAATTATCAATGAATCCCTTCCTTCATGATACTTACTATTACTTAATTTGTCCTTTTCACACATTACAATTTTTAGTACAAATTACACATCAGTAATATTATATTAATTATAATTGTGATTTTAAGTTTTTTTATTCAAAAAGAATTATTTGTTCAATCATTTTATTGTATTATTTGTGAGAGAGTTTTATTATTCTAAATAAATAAATTTAATTAAAGAATATTATAAGTGTGCTATTGAATGTTTAGAATATTATATTTACAAGTGTTAAATAATTAGTGGGAATTATTTAAGAGATAAATTAGCTAAGATAATATCATAAAGAACATCTACAACTAATATGTGTAATAAAGTTGAGAATTCATATTTTTTTATATTAAAAATATTATAAAATGTTTCTCTCCGACTAAAATTCCGTAAAATTTGTTGATCTAAATTGCATAAAAAACTCTATTATAATTTTCTTTACATTTTAATTAGAGAAAATAACCTCAGTGACCGAAAATGCCTTATAATATACGATTTTAATCAATTTTTTTTGGATTTACCAAAATGACCAACAAAATCGCAACGCGAACTCTAATTTTTCAACTCAGTTTCAAATTCGCAACGCGAATATCCAGATTCGCAACGCGATTGTAAGATTCGCAACGCGATTTTGAAAAATATGTTGCGATAGTTAAAATGTATTGCGAGAGTTTGAAAAACGTGTTGTTGTGATAGTGAAAAAGTGTTGCGATAGTGAAAAATTCAAAATAAGTTTACATTTTAACTATTCCAAATTCACGTGGAGTTTGAAACAATAAAGAATGTGTTGTGATAGTGTATAAGATTCCCAAGCCATTTGTAATATCTTAGTTTGAAACAATAAAGAATGTGTTGTGATAATGTAAAAGATTCCCAATTGTTGGCAATGCTCAATCCCACATAGTATTGGAAACACTATTGGGAATGGGTATTTAAGGCTTGGATTTCCCACTTCCTTGTTGAGTGGAAGAGAACAAGGGGGACTCTCGCGCACTGCGGCCGCCGTCGTCCCGTCCCGTCTCGAGTCGTGGTCGTGGTAATACGTGTCTTCGATACGTCCGTGCGGATACTATCTTTTTAGAGAAAATTCTTAAGAAACAAATGCAATAACACCAGTCGTTGCGATTTTCTAAAATCGCAACGCGAACTTCGAACGTGAACTTGGACTGTCGCAACGAATTTGGAAAATCGCAACGCGAACTTCGACTATCGCAACGAATTTGGAAAATCGCAACGTGAACTTGGACTATCACAACGTGAACTTGGACTATCGCAACGAATTTGGAAAATCGCAACGCGAACTTCGACTATCGCAACGTGAACTTGGACTATCGTAACGAATTTGTACTAACGTAAATTTGGAAAATCGCAACGCGAACTTGGACTATCGCAAAATCGCGTTGCGAATTTGGAAACTGAGTTGAAAAATTAGAGTTCGTGTTACGAATTTAAGATCGCATTGCGATTTTGTTGGTCATTTTGGCAAATCCAAAAAAAATTGGTTAAAATCGTATATTATAAGGCATTTTCGGTCACTGATGTTATTTTCTCTTTTAATTATTATTTAGTCATCCAAAGCTTAAACATTATTCGATAAAATTCCACTACGCTATTTCGTATCTCGGCATATTCATTACTTTTCTTACCGCCAATACTATTGCTTAACGAGTTTAGCAGCGCGTAGTAGTTCGAACTCGAGGAAAAGTATTGGCTAGTTCAGTTCAACTAAATGCTCCACTGGTTTTGCTTAACATGAATACAACCAGTGTTAAAAGTTAAGACTGTAATAGTCTTTGATCTGCTTCAAATAAACTATGAGGAACTCTTAACTAAAATTGATACGCGGGGCACAAATCCAAGTTATTTGGTTCCAGTTTTAAGGGGAAATAGAGGAGAATCTTGGATATTGGATAGCTGACGAGTGTGCTTTCTTTTATCCCATGTTTTTTTGTTGGTCAACAACCAACAAAAATAAACTGTAGTTTTTCATTGTATAGTGAAAATGAAGTCTCTTTTTTGGAGATATAAAATTGAAGGGTTAAAAAGGAAGAGGAAAAACTTTTGTTTGGTATCGGTATCAACGCGAATGATGATCGAAGTATGATGACGTAGGACAATGATTGTAATATCCCAAAATCTGGCTAGTGACTAAAACGAGAATTTTGGAAAGTTTTGTGCTTAATTTTGAAATAAGTTAAAGTTCTGGGATTTAAGTAAAGAATTTTGATGATGGATTAAATAGCATAGATGGATAATTAAAGGGGCAATTTAGTCTTTTCACCTTAAAGGATATTTCCCCTTTAAATAAGAGTTATACACGTGGGTTTTGGGATATTTCTGGAAGCCTTCTTCTTGCTCTCTTCTTCTTCTTCCCGTAACTCAAGCTTAAAGGTAAGTTTGATTTTTAGCTGTTAATTTCTTGAATTTATAAGTTGGTTTTGAATCTTTGGGGGTTATATAAGCTTAAGGAAAGCTTATATAAGCGCCTTAAGCTTATATAAGCTTAAAACATCAAGAAGAGATAATTAGAAAGGAATTTCTATTAAGAGTTTAGAAATGAACTTTTGATATATAATGGTTTTTGAAATTCTAAGGATGAATTTGACTTGTCATCAACTTAATTAAGAGATATGAGGTGTTAGAAATGGACTTAGAACATGTTGAAAAATTAAGTTTAATTTTTCAATCCCAGAGGTGGATAGGATTTTGAGGTTTAAGATGTGATAAATGGGTAGTAAGTGGTTTAAGTAAGAGTATGTAAGTTAAGGATATGAAATGGGTTGAATTATGGCACTATTGAGCTAAGTTGAGTGATTTTCGTGCATAAATTGGAATTCTGGACCAGTGTGCATCGGTACACATTCAACATGTACCGATGTATCAAGGGTAAATTTCCAGAAATTGTTCAGTGTGTATCGATGCACAGGAAGTGCATCGATGCACCCATTAAAAATGGAAACATCGAATGCAATTAGTGCATCGATGCATAAGGAGTGCATCGATACACCCCCTTAAGATTGAAATATCGAAGGTGATTTGTGTACTGATGCATGGGTAGTGCATCGATGCATATGTTAAGGGATGCATCGATGCACTGTAGAATGTATCGATGCACATCAAGAGAAAATAGAATTAGGTCTTTCTTTTGGTCTAAGAAATGATAGATTAGAATAGATCAATTAGATACTGATATGTATCAATGTATAAATAGGTAGATATCGAGCACATATAAGTTAGTTTTTGATGTTTAATGGAAATAAGACTTGTGTTGAAAACATTTTGATATTTCGATATAACAAATTAAGTTAAATGAATTTTAAGATTTTCCAAAAAGATTTTCTAAGTATATTCGATATAATTATTCGAATATCAAAATATTACTCCAAATCTTTCAAATGTCATTTTTAATCCTTACTCAAGTGTAAAATTAAGTTTTAATCTTAAAATATTTTCAAAACAATTTTACAAAATATTTCGAACCATCTCAAAGCCAAAAATTCTAGATTGCTCAGAGGGAACCAATTCCCCCCCCCCAAGGGGGTACCGATTCCCCCTGAATGGTTTAGCTATGAGAATTCCAGTATGCTCGGAGGGAACCGATTCCCCTTGTTTAAAGGTCAAAATATTTGAATTTTACACTTAGGGAACCGATTCCCCTTAAGGGGTACCGATTCCTCCCACGCTCCAAATTGTTTTATTAATTGATTTCACACTAAAACGGCTATATTATCTTCATTAATGATCCCCCAACGTTCAGAAGTGATTCAAGGTGTATTTAAGCAAGCTTAAAAGCCATTGATCAAGAACAAGAAACATCAAGCAACTAGAATCAAGAGATAATCAAAGAGAAAGCATCAAACCTCAAGTTTGAGCATTTTAAGCCTATTTTTCATTTAATATTCATTTTGCTTTCAAGAACACTTATTGTGATCAATTGTATTTATTCTTGAGTGTTCTTTTCTTTGTTCTAGAATTGTGCAAACAATCTACCTTGTGAGGATTTCCTTGTAAGTTTGCAAATTTGTATTGTTCTCTTTGGGAGATAGTATTCTCAAGAATTTGGGGTATAATTCTTGAGGGTTTGTAAGGTTACTCTTTGTCCTCAAAAGAAAGACAAATTAGTGAATTTGTGGAAAATCCTTAGTGTGGATATCTAAGGTAGTGGACGTAGACTTTGATTGAGAAAGTCGAACCACTCTAAATCGCTGTGCAATTTCTTTCAATTTTTTGCAAAAGCTTCCACTAAAATTTTTATTGCCAATTCACCCCCCTCTTGGCTGATTCCGTCAATCGATTAACTCAACAATTGACATCAGAGCCTAACTCATTTGAAGGTTTAATCACCTCTTGAGTCGATTCGGGAAGAGTTACATCGATAATCAAAGTCATCAATGGCCTCTACTTCAAACTTTGACTCCGGTCTCGATTCGATGCCCGTCAACAAGCCTTCTTTCTTCAATGGGGCTAATTATGTCTATTGGAAAAATAGGATGATGTACTTCATTCAAGCAAGTGACATGGGAGCATGGAATGTCGTAGAAGAATGATACTTCAAGCCTCTCACTCATCCAAGATTATGGAGTGAAGGAGAGACAAAAATGTTCCAGCTCAACTCCAAAGCCATCCATATCATATTTTGTGCTCTTGGACCAGATGAATACGAAAGAGTTTCATCTTGTACAACCGCCAAAGAAATATGGGACAAACTTCAAGTCACTCATGAAGGTACCGATGAGGTAAAGAAATCTAAAATTAGTATTCTAACGCATTGCTATAAAAATTTCAGGATGAAACTAAATGAAGATATCAAAGCTAT